ACTACCTATATGAAACTAATTTAATTACTACTTTTAGAACTAAAATTTTAAATGTGGAGGTGAAAATGATGATACGGCATCTGTCTTTCACGCGAGAGGTCCGAGTTCAAATCTGGGCTGGGGACTAATTAAATGAAATATTTTTTCATGTTTATTTTATTTCACAAATTAGTAAAGTCATAAATTATTTTAAAATTAATTATTTTGTCTTTTCCTAAAATAATACTTTAAATTTGTAGATTTTCGTTAGTGGGTCGCAGAAAAAAATATACTGTACAACTCCAGTGGATTGTCCACTGTTGTTGCACAAACTAGTATCAAATGGGTTATTATTTAAAAAACGTATTTTTATACAGGGTATTTGTAAATAAGTACGAACGATTTTTGCAAATTGTTATCAAAGTTATTTTGTTAAAAAAAGTTCCTATAAAAGTAGGTCGAAATATGCTTCCGAGATACAGAATGTTTAAATTTTAATTTATTAAATTTTATTATTTTTAATAGTTTTAAAGATATTTACTCTAAATTTGCAAAAAAACTTCGAAGGGGCAAATGTGTATTTTTTGGGGTGTTCCAAATATTTCTACTTGTACCAGTGGCGTTTGTGCGAGAATGCCACTTTTTTAATAAAAAAGTACTGCGCCACTGACTTTTTCGATCTATGTTTTTTTTATAAAATAACTTCGGCAAACATTCCCTAAAATCATTCACACTTACCAACAAACACCCTGTATATAAGAAAATGTAGAAATAGGTACATATGTATATTTAAAAATATATTTCGTAAATAAATAAATTAGTTATAAAAAATTTTTTTCGAAAATGTTACACCAGGTTATACCTTTAAAAGATATTTTAAACGAGAAAACAAAACAGAAATACTCTTTGTTAGACCGGACCTGCGATTTATCGGCATTTTTAATATTTTAAATCATCTATAGTTTATAAGTAATAAATTGAAGGGAGCGTAAGCCTGGGAATAGAGCAACGTTGCCAAAGTGGGTTCAGATGCACTGAAAGTTGTCAGTGTGTTCTAAATCTGAATTTGCTGTTAGGTGTTGCATGGATATCGCTCTTAATAATTTTTAATCTGCCGTCGTCCTCAAGAAGCAAAGTTATTTTATCAATTAAATCGATATAGCAAGTTGAAAAAGTAAGTCTTTTCATAGTTTTGCAAATATTTTTGTACTTTTTAGATATAACCTAAAATTTTTATTTTTATTTACTAAACAAGTTCGTCTATGGGAAGATCCACGGCAATTCCCATTAATGAAGAAGCTAAACTCACCAAATGATTAATCACAATGGAAAAATAGGGGTGGGGGTTAACGCGACGTAACATTTTTAATACTGTTGAGCAATATGTCACTAGAAATAATCTTAAAACACCATTTAAGAATGGGCGACCAGGAGAAGATTGGTTTTTGGAGGTTACCAAGAGACATTATGTTCCAATAAGAACACCTCAATCGGTGTTTGGATCCTTTTATTATAAATAACTATTTTAACTTATTGAAGAAACAGACGAAACACGATAAACCTCGTCAAATTTGGAATCTAGATAAAACCAGCTTTTTTCTGAATCCATCAAAGACTAAAGTGGTGGGAAAAAGAGGAGCACCTTCATTGCGAACAACGGCTGAATCTGAAACCCTTTGTTATTCATACATCGTGTCAGTGCGATAATACTGGCTGGTCCTTCGAGTTTTTTCCAAGATATTTTTATCATTGTTATTCATTTTAACTTATCATCATTCAATGTTGTTTTCCTTTTTGTGGCGCGCGCCAGTATGGTTAAATTCTACAATTTCACCAGTAAAAACATCAACAAATTAATATTTTACATCTACTAAATAAATAAACAATTTTCAAATAGTTCGACTGCTTTTTACCCTAATATAATGTGAAGTCATAAAACTATAAATAGCATTTTTCTCAGAATACCGAACGTCGAACACCTGTGTGCACAGCTGTGCAGTGGAACAAAATGAGTGTCCAGCGCATAGTTAACGAAACACAAATGACGTATTTCATTATGTCATGATGTTTTCATTGGTTGAAACCGAATAGGTGCGTCAACTATGCCCCGGACACTCATTTCGTCCCAACAGTATATATTCGCTCGTCGCGAAGAGTTGAGTTGTCTTATTGCCACCAACGATTCAGTTGTCTTTTTGCCATCATCGCGTTCAGTTGCTTTCTGCCGACGGCACGTTACTTTCTACATTTTTACAAGCGTTTAATGCATTTTATTTTCTGGTGAAAGTTATATCTTCTACAATTATTATGGCATAAGAAATTCTACAAACAAATGTTTTCAAGTTGGTAACTAAAAAATCAACTGTATTAGTTAATCAAATTGTGATGAACTAAAATTGTAAATATTTAAAAGTGTTTAGTGAAGATAAGAAAATTATTATATCTAAATGGAATCAACCACTATGTATTTACTTCAGTGAAAATAGTAAATTAAAAACACTTCTTTTTCTACTACCTATGAATCGTTAGTTATTTCTACAAAAGAACCCAATTCTTCTAACACCAGCGACATATGCTACAGAACATTTTTACCAAAGAAATATTCGGAAGTAACACCGGTATTTTTTCAGTACCACTGTACTGATGGCTGTTAGCGCTGATGGATTTAAAGCTCCCTCATTGATCGTGTTTAAAGCAAAAAACATGTGGAAAGACTGGATTGCTTCTGTAACTCATAGATCGATTTTCCTTTTTTGTAAATGTTTAAGGCATATTAAACATCGTTCTTTTGAGACTTACACACATGCCCCTGACCTCTTTAAATGCATAAATAAGCAAAGGTGTGTAGTACATACCTTGTTTTAAAAACAAATAGCACAAAATGCAAAGTTTTAACATTTTAATGATTTTGCTATTATACCGTATATTAGGAAGACAACAAGTACTGATGTCAAGAAATTTAATTATTTTCTTTGGATGAATTTTTACGAGTACATATAAATAAACTTGCATAATTTTACTAAAATCTTACCCCACCTTACCTTATTGATACTTTGGACAATACTTCGAATACTTTAAACAAAATATTCATTAAAATTGTGTGCTATCTTTAAGCTCCCTTTGATCATTTTTAGTACATCGCCTATTTCAAAAAGTATACAGTTTATAATATCTTTATCTCTATTATTATTAGTTTTTTTAATGTTTAAATGCATCTGAAAAGATTCAAATTGAGCCTTATATGTACTTAATCTTATCCCATTCTCCATGTGATATATTTTTTTAATTAATTTTCATGTTAAATAGTGTCTACGTCACTGGATTTATATCCATGGCTGTAGGTACTCAGACTGGTATGACTTGTTCTACGTAAAATCTAATAATTAATTTTGAACATTTGATTTTACGAATCTAGTCAATAATACTAATAATAACTAATAACAAATTGCACAGGCTCTCTGTAATAAATATGTTAATGCGTTTCCGGTTTTAGGTAATAATCAAGGTTTTTGTTATTTGATGTTTTTTAGTAGACGCTTATAAACAAATCCGTACATACTCATAAATTTTTCTAAACGAATATGTTAAGCAAAAGTTCTTATATTTTGATATCGGTGTTTGTAGTTTTGTCACAGGGTTATATGCGTAAGTAAAAATAAATTTATACACCTATTAACTTTATAATATCAAATAAATACGTGAAGCGTCAAGATCTTGTTTACTAATATAATTATTATTATATTAGTCTGATCTTTCCAGATAAGCAATATACTTTTACACCAAAAATAATCTAAAATTACTTTTTAATTGAAAATAATACACGATACTGATGAAACTATCTTCAAAATGTACAGGGTTATTCTTAATAAAATATAAACTTAACTGAATGTCTAAAATTGCCACAAAATATCTAACATTTAAGTGAACACACAAGAAAGTGTAATGTTATATTGTTCGGCTGGAAAACCTCAAAAATAGGACAATATTGTGTACATGTTAATATGCATAAGTGACTTAATATTTAACATATAAAAATAAAATTAAAATTGATACAAACTCTTATAGTAACACTATTTATTATAAGATACTCTAATTTCATTGAAAGCAAACAAAATTAAAACATTTATACAAAATTGCTTGTAAAATCAAGGCAGATAAAATTAAAAGTGGAACATTCGTATTTTTAGAAGAAATTTAAATGAATCTTTATAAATTAAAATAATGAAGACAGTCCGGTCCGCATAAAACACTCGGTAGCATATTTGTACTATGACAATTTTTAAATATTTTGCTCAAAATATTTTTGAAATGAAGATATTACTAACTAACCTTGACAGGTGCATTTTTTACGATACAACCGCTATATCACCTTAAAAAACTTCATTATTAAATAATTACTGGTATTTATTTAATCTCTCATAGACGTACCAGTTTTTTTTTACCGACTTCAAAAATGGAGGATGTTCTCAATTCGTCGGTATTTTTTTTTATTGTATGTTCAGCAATAATTCTTTAACACGGTATCCGATTTCAATGATTCTTTTTTTGTTAGAAAGGGGGTACTTCAAGGGTGGTCCCATATAAATTTGGTCAAAATTTAATAATTGTGCCCATGAGAAAATCCTCAAACTTTTCATTTTTTTATGTATGTTCAGCGGTTATTCTTTAACATGATGTTTTATTTCAATGATTCTTTTTTGTTAGAAAGGAAGCACTTCAAGGGTGGTCCCATATTAATTTGGTCAAAATCTAAAAATTGGGTCCATGATAAAATCCTCCGTCTTCATTTTTTTATATATGTTTAGCGATAATTCTTTACCACCTTGTCCGATTTCCATGATTCTTTTTTTGTTAGTAAGGGGGTACCTCAGGGGTGGTCCCATATAAATTTGGTTAAGATGTGGTGATGGCAACTGGACGATTGTGAAATCGATTTTTTTTAATTACTTTTAATACTTGTAATTTAATTTATTAAATAAAGGATTTTTCTTGTACATCTACTAAATAATTGTTTTTTTTAGCTATAGGCGCTGATGACTTAACCTGCCCCCCGAGCAACTCTGGAACGACTTACGTCAAACTGAAAGATGCTGTTTTGTGTAATTATGACAGTTCCGTTAGGCCAGTAGCTAATCATCAGAACTCCACTGCTGTATCGTTTAAATTAGTTATGAAATATTTTAATTTCGTAAGTAAATTTTTAAATTTATTATAGATAATTTTCTAATCAAATTTCTCGGCCTATAAATAGTAATGATTAAAAATTACAGTCCAGGAATATAATCGATTAATTGGAAATAATCGATTAATCAAAAATAATCAATACATTGAAAATAATCGATTAATCGATTTAAAAAGACGGTTAATCGATTGATCGATTTATTCTCCGTTTAATTTTTTATTGCGTTTCTTTCAAAACAAATGAATCATTAGTACAAATAATCCTAATTGCATTGAAACAGGCTCTGATTCTAACTACCTCAAATATTGGAAATTTTTACTAACCTGTAATTTTCTAATTTATTATTCACTTTTCTTGGACTATCACAGACAAATTTCCACCGATCATAGCCTAGTAAAATTTGTCAAAAATTGTAAAATTTAAATAATCGACAATTTCTTAAAAATAAATGCATTTTTTTTTTAATTTTAGAATATAGAAACTAGTACATTCAGTGTAGACGCCTGGTTGTCATTGGTAAGCGATTATTTATTGGTAAAATAACATTTTTGTCGATATAAAACGTTGTTTTTAGTATTGGATGGACCAACATTTAACATGGAATCCAAGTGACCATGAAAACATTAAAAATATTTATTTATACACTTACGAATTGTGGACACCTGATTTATCGGTTTATAATTTGTAAGTATTGTTAATATCTCTACTTTACAAGAATAAAAATCTATATACATTAAATCATGTCATCTAGTAAACTATCTCAGATAAATCTTTTTTTAGAGCCAACCAAGGCGAAGACCCTGAACTAGTATCAACCATTAGATGTATGGTTTCTTATCAAGGAATTGTGATGTGTGTCCCACCAATACACATAGATTTTCTATGTGTACCAAACCTTGCTAAATATCCTTTTGATAAGCAAGAATGCAAACTGAGGATTGGTAAAGTCAACAACTGCAGAATATTAATTTTTTTTCCTTTTTAACAGTCACTTTTTGTTATTTTAGGCTCTTGGATGCACAAAGGAGAAGAAATAGATCTCAAAGCAGACAAAAGTGTTGTTAATACTGTGGATCTAATACCTAACGGAGAATGGGAGATTCTGTCCCATTCTACTGTGAAACATAAGGGAGTGTACTCTTGTTGTCCCAACAATACTTATCCTTCTATCGATGTGAATTTTACCATAAGGAGGTTAGCTGGTAGCCATGCTGCTACCATGGTAATACCCGTTATAGGTACGTATAGCTACCTAAATAATTAGTTTTTAACAATTTGTCCATGTTTTAAATACAAATTCCTGGACTATGATGAACAAAATAAATATTAAATATTGTTGTTCAGGAAAATTTCATAAACATTTATTACCAAATTTTTCTATAATATTTTAGAACTATACAAAAATATCAGGGGGGGATATCGCGCATAGTGTCATGTCGGCGCTGACGTCATGCGTAGAGTTAGTAGAGTTGGCGCCAAGTAAATATCATATCACAGATGCACGTTGAAGTGATTTGTAAGTTATTAATAGTGATTTATAACATTTTAAGCGAATATCTGTATTATATTACATTGTAGACAGTGTTCTTTGTGAGTGGTATTAGTGATAAACATTAAAAAATGAGGTACACAATTTACGGATGTAGGAGTAACAATCGAAGCAAAGGAGTCGACATTCCTCGACAGTAAGTTATTGGTCAGAAATGGCCAAAAGGCGGCTCTAGTTGTAAGTCCCAGGGAGCCTCGCCTCTTTCTTAATTAACATTTTTACATTCCATGGGGCCTTTATTGAAAAATATACTAAAAAGGGAAATGTTATAAGCAATGCTACCCACTCCTCGAAAATTTGACGAAGACGCCCTTGCAGTGGCCTGTGGCCGTGCAGATAACTTTAAAACAGAAACTTGTCAAAGGTGATCCAAAAATTTTTAACCTTTCAATTATAACATGGACCTCAAAGCAAACCTTCACGTTAGTTCATTCGCAACTCAGGACTTCTTAACTGGGGATTCTACCCTTTTTAGAAAACTATTAGTGACTAGGTCCAGGAAAAATGCAGTACATTTATTTTTATGCTTTGCATTATATTATATGTATAAAAAATATTTTTTAAAAACCTGTTTTTGTTATCGTACCTATACATAAATCCCATCTTATTCATAAAATAAGTTGTTAAGTATATTCAATTGAGTAATATATTGCAGATAAATGAGTCATCAGTTGCGAATCCTAATCAGGTAAATAGTCCCAAAATGCGAAATTTTAACCTAGCAGTTGAGAAATTCTGAGTTGCGAAGATACCCTTCTCATTATCCTGGTCATAGAAACTATTCTTTAGACGTCGAATTTTCTTCTAAATTAAAATCTGCATTAAAATTTATGTAACAAAAATAAATCATTAATAAGAAAAAGGAAAAAAACTGATACTTCAAATAAATATTTTTTTCATATATGTATTTGAGTTTATTTTCCTTTATAGCTCTTTCCTTACAATAATATCCTTAGATATTTGATGTCATTTTTAAAATATTATCCTTTAATATTTATTAAATTTCTATAAATAGCATTTAGTTTCCTCATACTTCGATAGTATTTTTAAATTCCCGCCTATACAAACTCTACGCATGACGTCATGCGCGTGGTCGTCCTATTTTTGACACAGTTGATATCCTACCTTCTATTTTTTATACCATGCAAAAATATAGTCTGGTAAAATATGATAAAATAAAGAAAATCCTTAATTTAAACTTGTTTTTTTTTCAGTGTGCGTTATTTTAACGATAACACTGTTAGCACTATCACCGATGGATAAAGAAAGACTGATTTTGGCTTACGTAAATTTATTGGTCCATTTCCTAGAAGTCCAAAACGTAGCTTGGCAGATACCTTTAAAAGGAGACAACATGCCGCTCATTAGTAAGTATCAGTTCTTAAATTGTACGTTCATAAGCAAGAGAAGTTGTGATATGTTAACGCGTGAAATTTAGCTTTCGAAATATCAAACTTTAATATAAAAAAATAGTTTATTACTCCCAGAATACGTGGGCAATATCCCGGATTCAGATAGAACGCATAAAAATAACAATACAAGAAAAGGTATGCTTAAATATTGTTGCAATTCCGCATAATTTTAGTACCTAAATGTTGAACTTAAATGCTATGTATCTAAGAAAACTCTATCCAGTTTACTTTTATGACTTAGGTACCTAGTTTGGGAACCAGACTGAGGAGCAGGAGCAATATTCAAGTTGTATCCTAATTAAAGAGAAGTAAAGAATTTTAATTGTATTTAGATTAGTGAAATCATGAGTTATTCCTCTTGACAAAGCCCAGCATTTTTATTGATTTTTGAACTGTAGCAGTGATATGGCTATTAAAGGTCATGGAAGAGTCGAAGGAGTTCCTTAGATCCTTGATTTGATCGACAGGGTACAAAGCAAGATGAAATAAACTATAATTATACGTTATTATATGATGGCTGTGACAAAATCGGATAAGGGAAAGAAAGGGTGACGTAATCACCTTGTCGATTTCGGATTAATCGAAAGAGGCCAGAGACGGCTCTAGGCAAAACAAATGGCTTAAGCAAAATGTAGAAGTATTTAAAAAAATACTTTCACAAAAATAAGTGTTCTAGCCTTTATATTTTTTTGACAGAAACACTATTAGGAATCGGATTAAACACTTATGTATCTTTTCTGGTTTTGGTAGACATACTATTAGCAATGTTGTGATTATATTTTGGTATAAATGCCACTCATCTTGTTTGTGCATATGTATTAATGTATTAATATGAAGTTAGTTTTTATTGACCATCTGTTTATCATGAATATAAACTTCGTTCACACTTAAGCCGTATTTTATTTAAAGTATTTTGGAGACGAAAGGGTACTTAAGTCCAAAATGCCGAAAGTAAGTAGGTACAGTCTATTTTATTTTCACGAGTCCACCAATCTTCTATTAGTTTCTCGCACTTGGATATACAGTTTCGCCACTTTTCTGGAGTTGCAATTGAAAGTGCTTTTCGCCAAGTTTCCCGAACTGCGTCGTCACTATAACCATTAGTCCCAATGTGGTTGTCATAATATTGTTTTGCTCTTCCCCATATATATTCGATGGGATTAAACTGGCAATGATACGGTGGCAGATGTAAAACTTGATGACCGCAACTTTCAATAATCTAATCCACAACAAAGGTTTTTGGTTTTGCGTATATATTTGCCAAGCGTAATAATTCTGATTTTAATATATATTGAGGAAATGGTATATGTTCCTTTGTCAACCATTCTTTAATTTTATCAACAGTTCAAGAATTCGTTGGACTTTTGTTTAATACTTCAGAATGGTAAGGTGCATTGTCTAAAATAATTACGCTGGGCTCACTTAAACCTGGGAGAAGTTTTTCATGCAACCATTTTAGAAATATTTCTGTGTTCATATTATCGTGATAGTCACTGGATTTTGATTTAGATGAAAATATTAAATCAGCACCTTCTTTCTATAAAGCCCGATTTCCGTCCTGCATGTAAAATTATGTGTCGCTTCCCTTCTCCATCGGTATGTTTGATGGACTTTACGTTATCATCTTGCCATATTCTCTTGGTTGCACCCCTAGAAAATATCTATGTTTCGTCTAAATATATAAAATTTGCCCCTTCTTCTTTAAATTTAGAATATTTTCTTAGAAAGTTAATTCTCTTGTATACGACAGAACTTCTTTCACAAAGGGCCTTTATGTTACCCTCCTTTTGAAATTTGAAACCCAAGTTATGTATCACTTGCCATAGACTTGATTTGCCAATGTCGTAAAATTTTCTATCTATTAATTCCGATAGAATTGTATTTAAGGTCACATGTTCCTTGTTGGCACTTATTCGATAAATGGTATCACGAATTTTAAATTTCTTTCCATCTGTTTTCTTTCTTTCCATTTTTTTCGTTTTCAATGATGGGCGAGTTTTGCGGTGATATTTTTTCGGCAGTGCACTATTGTGATTTTGTAATACTACTCTTAATTTGGTTTCACTAATTCCTAGAGCATCGCTTACGCGTTGCTGTACAGACATTACCGATTTTAAAGGACCGCCATTTTCTTTTTCATCCGTAAAATACTTATGTACACTACAAATTAGACTATCTACATCTAACACACGTCTAGGCATTTTTAAAATTTCCACTAAATTTACAATATATATACAATGTCAACACTTGCAAAGAATCAATTCAACTGCAATATTTGTAACAAAATTAGTACCTACCCTAATGTTATTTTAATTTAAATCTGACCATTAGGGCAATTTTACCTAATTTCTTGGGAAGAGGCTTATTGGAACTGGTTGTCCATGACTAATTTGCATAATTTTGTTAATCCGAAACCCGCGTAAGTATAGCGAACAGACTGTATTTGTTATTGCAATAACCCCATGATCCAAATGTTTAATTAAAAATTACTATGATATTTAGCATATCGACTAATGAATGTTTTTCGCGCGTTCCGCTAAAGATTTTAAAAACAAATCAATAGTTTTTAAAAAACGCCTTAATAATAGTGTTTTGGGCCGCAAAGAAAAGCTTGGAAGGCCGCAAGTTGAGCATGGATGCTGAAGACCCTTCTCCAAAGCTTCAGACAAAAAGTGGGCATACGTTAATAAGCTCAATCCAGCAGATTTGCCTGGCCAAATTGTTGAGAATTTAAGATATTGGAGCAGTCGTATGTTAGAAAATTAGTTATTATACTTTCAAAGAATTTTTGGATTTTGCTTAGGATGGAACTGGGGCGATAATTTTTTGCATTAGATTTTTTGCCCGATTTATAACTATAGGGGTAACGTAAGAGAGTTTCCAAAAGTCAGGAAATTCATCTGTGCTCAGTGATTTGTTAAATATATGAAAAAGTGGCCTAGATAATACAATTTTTTTTTATCAAGACTACCTTTTTTTAGTTTAAGGTTTAAGCTATCCAAAAATATTATGTTATTGTACAAGGTGTAAAAAAATATTAATTTTACGGAGACATCTAATATCCATTATAATTTAAAAATTATTAAAAAAATATTTTTAGTGGTGTCCATTATGGGATCATATCTCCGAAAATAGGACTCGTAGAAAATAAATAGGAACTTGTCATGTTACTTTTATGTGTTCTATCTCAATCCGCGAGATTGTCCACATATTCTGGGATATAGTTCCATTTTTAATCATTTATACATGTTTGATTTACTCGTATACCCACAGGCGTCTATTGTTAACCAACCTTTTGAAATTAAACCGTTTTTTTAGTAATTTTTTCAAGAGATTCCTTACTTCTGGCCGTATTTGCCTTAATTTTCACTTTGGTATTCAGAAGTCTCATGATGAAGAAAACCATGCCTCCTGGTTGGGTGTCTGGCATCATTTCAGGAATACTGGTCTGCAAACCTGGACAATTCATCCTTTTAAACAATTACTCAGTAAAAGTAAGTAAAACAACTACGACTGCTATACAAAAGTTTATTTACCTCTTAGTTTACTTGCGTCGTAGAAAAAGTAAAGTGCGTAATACATGTGATAAACCCTTTTCTAATTGCTCTCGTGCTGAAATTGTCGCTTATCTAACTAGTTGCACAAATAGAGTACATTTTGTTGCTCTAAAAATTTTATTCGTTAAAAAAGAATAGTTTTTGACTTGCAATTCACAGTAGGTATATTTGAAATAGGATCTTTATCTTTTTAGCAAGCAGCTGCTGCCAAAGGCGAAGAAGACGGAGCTGGAATCGTAAACACCAACACGGCTGTAAATAATTTGCAAGATTGGGAGTTATTCGGGAAAATTCTGGATAAATTATTTTTTATTATATACATTGTAGCATATTTCGTGATGATCATATCGCTCTTACCTTGAAATAAGACTTTTTAAGTACTATACATATTATTTATATATGTACAGAAGGTTTTTTGTACTTTTTTGTTTTAATTATGTGATAAATACATATCTACGTCAAGTTCATAGCTGGGCTATGAATATGAGTCAACTTTTCGTCAATATTGTATTATTTTTTAATGCGTTAGAAGAGATTTTTGGCAATAAAACTACATTTAGGTATTTAATTGACAGGTGTTTTACTATACTTATTTTAATGTTCTTCGGAACATATCAAATTAACTGATTCCCCATAGAAGAGTTTTGGGACAAGGAGTAGAAATAACAAGAGAGGACAATCAGAGTAAGAAACCAAAATAGACAGCTACACTCCAATATTTCATTTATTGAATCTACGAGACTATCTCTATATACAGGGTGTCCCAAAATTCCGTGTACATAGATCTACTGTATGTTGGTGAGATCAAAATAAGTCGATTAAGCCAAAATTACCTATATCATAAAGTCCATCGTTTGCCTGTGAGGAAGCTTCAAAGTTGGAAGAAAATTTCAATTTTTTTAATAACACAAAAACGCTTCGTTCGATTGTTATAAAATTTGGTGTGTAGCTATTTTAATTGAAGAGCCATTGTTCAAAATAAAAATTACACCAACTGAAATTATGAAAGGGTAAAAACCACCCTAATCCTACCATAAATGACATCGTATTTTTTTTTCAGGGCCGCCTCTGTTCCCTAATTTTTTTTTGTGGAGAGCTATATATATTTGTAGCATTTTTTCTCTCTTACAAAAAACATGTATCTTTCATGGTATTTGAGTATAGAAAAATTTATGGACTATGGGTTAGTCTCTTAAAATTTTCACTAATAATACCACTAGAGGTCAAATTATTTCCGGAAATTTTTTCGAGCTCATGAATATTTTGAAAATTGAAATTTTCTAAAAATATTCATGAGCGGGAAAAAATTTCCTGATATTAATTTGACCTCGCGTGGTATTCGGTAAGAAAATTCCACGCCGAATTATGGTTGAAAATTAAATATTTTTAAAATTTATTTTTCGTTTCTCAACAATGCAAATTATTTTCTCCAAGTCATCAGTGAAACATAAAAGGTGTTGTCGCCTTGATTGTTGAGTTGTCATGGTAACTAAGTGAGACCCTAACCTCGAATATAATTTCAGTTTTGAAGTTGTCAAGCGGCCCGACGTAAAAAAATGTTTCGCTGCAATTATTTAGGCCTTCAAATTGCTTATTTCTACTCATTGTAGTTGCATGGGAATACCATTTGAAAATAGAAAATAGTATATTCTTTAATTTTACGTAAGTTTTGAATAACTACAAGTGGTAGAAAATTGTTTTTCTGCGTTATTATTAACATGCGTTATGAGCGCTTTAAAATGGTATGAAATTCATAACCAGCGTCAGCAAGCATCAATCGTAGGAGGCTGAGATCATTGTATTTTGACAGTTCAAAACATTAAATAACTCGCGTTTTGTTGCGATAAAGAATATTGCACAGCAAGTAAAACCAACAAAATTACCTATTTGTTTAAAAATAAATCGATTTGAAAATCATACGCTATGCAAAATATGCGTGAAATTGTCTGATGTAATGATCAATCATTGCACAATGACTTACTTACTCGGATTAATAGAGGATTATGGCTCCAACTTGAAAAACGAAAATTTGTTCCGAATTGTCCACGAATATTTGCACCTAAACTATACGCAAAATTCAAAGTGCTGAATGGGAAAAAGGTGAATAAATTAGTGTCTAAATATTATATATATTTTATTAGACATAGACACATAATTCAAAGCATCCAAAGTCCTGCATTTTCGCCATTAAGAAGAAAAGAAGTGGCCGAAGAATATAGAAAACACCTTAGCATTGTAACTAAAATGTATCAAAACTAAACCTATTATGTGAACAAATAAAAACCAGTCTGTCAAAAATGGTCTGTTATTGTAAACGTCAAAAAATTTCCAGTATAATTCGCTGTTGGGTACCCCACGAGAAAAAAATTTCCACTAAAATACCTCCGTTGCCATGGTGATCTGTCAAAAACACGTATTTTGATTGGTTCAAAATTACAGGTGTGGAATTTTCAAGAAAACTAAGTTGGCGGTTGTCAACGTTACAATAAACAATTTGATAATTTTGACAGATATGTATGTTGTAGAACTGTAAAAATTGTCGATACTACTCATTTTATGTACACTATTGGACAAAAGTGAAGCAACTTTTATGATAAAATCAAATATTTAATTATTTAAAATAACACGATCAACCGTGAGAATCAAAATTTATGTAGTTTAAGTGGTCATAATAGGCTGCTATCATAGGTGAAATGGGATTGTTTGCAAATGTCAAATAAGTTAGTATGTAATAATTTATTTCAACAATACCCTTTATTATCGCGACAAAAGTATAACAACTTTTATGAAAAAATTTTGTATTTCATTTAACAACTGAAAAATCACAAATATGCTTGAAGGGTTAAAACAAAATAAGAACAAATTCTTAATAATTAATAGGATATCCATTATTAGATATAACTTTTTGGCAACGGCGCGGCATTGATGAAATTAAGTTTTGGATGGTAATATCCGGCATATTAATCCAAACTTCATTAATTTTATCAATTAAGGACTGTTTATTTGGGAATCTTGTAGTCCGAATACGACGTTCAACCTCTTCCCAAAGGTTCTCAATGGGGTTGAGGTCTGGTGATTGGGCCGGCCACCTAAGAACCTGGACATTGTTCTCCTGAAACCATTCCTGAACAAGGCGAGACGAATGTTTCGGATCGTTGTCCTGTTGGAATATAAATTGCAAAGGCATCTCCCGCTGAGCATAGGGAAACATAACGTTTTGGAGTATGTCTCTGTAGACGAAGCGATCCATAATTCCGTCTATAAAATGTAGTGGGCCTACTCTGCTCCACGAAAAACAACCCCATACAAATACACTCACTACCTTGTCCGTGCTTTATTGTTGGCGTAACATACTTTGGGTGAAATCTCATATTAACCGGACGCCTGACACGCTTCATTCCATCAGAATTAAAAATTTTATAACGACTTTCGTCGCTAAACAATACTTTTCCCCAATCTTGCACTGTCCAGTTCAAATGTTGTTGCGCAAATTCAAGTCTGGCACGGCGATTTCTTTCAGAAACCAACGGTTTCTTGGCAGGACTATAAAGTTTCGCCTCAACTAATCGTCGTTGAACAGTCCTCGCACTGACTTCCAGTTCGGGAATTTCAGCAATTATCCTTGGTCCTGATAACCATAGATCTCTTTGAGTAGTTTTACTGGGCCTTCCTGATTTCGGCATTTTTTCTACATGTCCTCTTTCATTATAACGTGAAATTATTTTTGAGACACTATATTTGGGCAAGTCGAACTGTTTGGAAATCGCAATCTTACTCTTCCCTTCTAAAAAGGCGTTTACGACCATTTCTTGTACCTCCGTACAGATTCGTTTTCCTTTTGGCATATTTAATTCTGTAAATATTAGAGCTGTTAAGCTTAATTGAATTGAAAAACGTCATTTTAGAACTTTACCTGTATCATAAACCCTTTTCCTGTAAACCAAATCAAAGAGTTGCTATACTTTTGTCGCGATAATAAAAGGTCTAGTTGAAATAAATTATTACATACTAACTTATTTGACATTTGCAAACAATCCCATGTCACATATGACTGCAGCCTACTATGACCACTTAAATTAAATTATTTTTAATTTCCATGGTTGCTCATTTTTTCTGTTTCGATTTAAAGTTTTTGTGATGGAGTTATTTCAAACATTTTGTGGTTGGTATGGAGTACACATTCAATAAACAAACTGATATGTTGCTAGTGCTTGGTTTCTGTAATGGCAACTGCCGTGAAAGTGTTCGGGTATACCATGAAAGATTTCCAAATCGACAGATTCCGAATCACCAGACTTTTACTTTTATCGAGAGGCGACTTCGAGAAATTGGTCAACTGAAACCGAACAGAAATAATGCTGGAAGACCTCGTTATGTTAGAACTCCTGCTGCAGAGGAGGGAATACTTGAAATAGTTGAAAATAATCCCGGAATTAGTACCCGACGACTGGCACGCCAAACTAGGATTTCAAAAAGCACATCCAACAGAATAATTAGAGAACAACTTATGTATCCCTTTCACATTCAATGTGTCCAGGAACTCCTACCTCCTGATTTTGAGTCTCCTTTGCATTTTGTACAAGTTATTCAAGAGCACAGAGCGGCCGATCCAGTTTTTCACAGAAAAATTTTGTTTACAGACGAGTCATGCTTTACACGACGTGGTATAACAAATTCACATAACGAACATGTTTGTAACAACCAGTTAGCCTAAAGACCATTTGCAACTACTGATAGGTCTGTAGCTACTGTTGTTAATATACTATTAAGGGATTAGGGCAGCGTTGTCACCAGCCAAAGGGTCCTGGAGTCCTGAAGGAACATCCATTCGCCAGTGGCAAAATAAAATAATAAAGAAAAAATAATAAAATACAAAAAAGAACATCCCTTAATAGCATATGTCGAGCGGTTTTGGCAACTGACTTAAGACTCTCAAGTCCTTAAGGGTAGGAACGCCGATGCTTAACATGCTCGGAATATTTCTTACTGGTTTTTGGAAAGAGGTGAGAATAAAATAGGTTAATAAACAATAACATGTATATTTAAATATAAGTAAAAAAATTATTAACAATTTTAATAAATCAGAACAATCTTTATTTTCGAAATAAGACAAGCAAAAATTACTATCTACAATTGTAAATCTTTATTATGATAAACCATGTTAATAGAATATAATTTATGATAAAACTTTAATATAATGAAACCTTTTACATCACAAAAACTTTTTACTATAATAAAAAAACTCTTTATATGATAAAACCCTTAAAACTGATAAACATTTAATAAGTAAACTTGGGACGAAAATGAAAGAATTGGCATTTGAAGAAAGACTAATGAACTGTTTTAAAATACATAACCCAAACAAGATGGTGATGAACAACCGACAACGGCGCACGGTTCCGTGCCACAACACTCTTACGGCAGCGGCAGCGATGGTAATAAGCGGCTTTGAACCAGCTACCAAATTAAACTAGTTTTTTTCAATGTGTTTTAAAGTTTTACAATATATTTATGCTACAAAATAAAATAGTAAAGTTTATTTCTTCACCATTTGGTCCAG